AAAGCTTAAGGAATGAAATTAAATTGTGCACCTTTTTCCTTTACAGAGCCAAATGCCGAATCGGGAGCTAACGTTGATGCGGCAATTATGTGGCGTGAACGACGCGAAGAATTCAATGATATCGCCAAACGTTTAGTGCGTAAAACACTCGGCATACCATCATAAAACGGCCACCACCATTAAACAACAAAAACGCATTAATGACGACCTTGAAGATACTGTACACACTATTCTACTACTTCAATAAGAAACCAATTATCAGCCAGCACAATTCAAATGAAGTAGTGTTATTTATAGTGGTCCGGCATCAATAAACATACACACGCAACAAAACAAGTTAACATCAAGCGAAAAATCATTGCAATACAAAGCGATCGAAAATGCGACAAAATGTCTATATTCGTTAAACTTTTAATATATATAATTAGATACATATGCTATCTTCGCAACTTGGTTTCTGTAATTCAGTTTTCTAAGCTTTTTATTCCTGACTTTAAATTCAAAAACAAACCCCGAAAACGCACTTAAAATATGTTTCTATTTTCACCTTCAATGTATTGTATTTTTACTGCAGTTGCATTTTGTAAAAGCCAGAGAATTGCTACTATTTTATCTGCTACATACATATATGCCTAGATACAATAGTAAAAATAATATTCGTACACCGCATTAGAAAAAAATCTGAATAATATATAAAGTAAAATATATAACTCTTTAGCTTAATTGCAATAAAAACAGAAAGGAAACTAAACGAATTATAGAGGAATCTTAAAGAACAAAAAAAAAGGTTAAAAAATATACATATATGCTAAAGCTAAGCACGAAATTAAGGTTTTGCTTTCGAAAATGAAACTATTCTTATAGGCTGTACTGTAGATATTTATGTCACGTGCGATTTCAGTTGCTGATTTTCAACCAAAGTTTCGTTTTTTAATACTTCGTGCAATTATTTTTAAATTCAAATCGAAGGCAAACAAAGTTTGTACATGTATATTACAGATGAGATACAAATGTGTAAAAAATTATTTTTGAATACTTTATTTTTTAACTACGACTTTAAAATACATAAACATAGTAAACATAAATTCATAGAAATGTTAAGAATATACATACATCATACTATGTTAGTGCGAAATAAAGTAAACTGCGAAGAAAATAGAAATATGTATTTATTAGTTAACATATGTATGAATTTTGTTATAAGTTTGAAGTAGATCCGATTGATTCTCTTCTAGTCGTTCAAGGGAATTAACCATAGGAAAGCGGGTAGATTCGGACAACTTCCTATTTCAGCGGGATGAGATTGTTCATATTCGGGCCACTTTGAATTCAAATTGAATGGGGTTGAAATTCACTCGGAAGTGAATTGCAGAACCTGGGCGGTGCCACGTCCATTTTCCAAAATTTTACCATAAACGTATTTCTTGGTAAGATTTGTTGCAAGCATCAATTTTTAATAAATTGGCTTTAATATTTACTCATTTATCGAAGATTTTGTATTTCTCTAAATTACCGTTATATGGGATGTGGGCGTGGTTATTGTCCGATTTTAAAAGTTTCGGCCATTTGGTATGCTGTACCAAGGCCAACAACTGTGCCAAGTTTGGAAAAATTTGGTGCAGCGGTTACCAAGATATACACATGTAACCATAAGTGGGCGTGGCTACGCCCATTTTCCAAAAATTTATAATATTCTTATTATTCGTCTGAAAATTATTGTAAGTATCAATTTTGAGTGAATTATCTTCAGTAGTTACTAAAATATCGCAGTTTTCGTATTTCTAGAAATTGCCGTTATATGGGAAGTGGGCGTGGTTACAGTCCGATTTCGCCCATTTTCAATACCAACCTACCTTGGATTAATGGAAACCTACATACCAAATTTCGTTGATATATCTAAATTTTTGCTCGAGTTATCGTGTACACGGACGGACGGACAGACAGACAGTCACCGCTTAATCGACTTCTCTTTTCATTCTGAGCATTTATGTATACATTTGTCTATATCTATCTCCATTCGTTTTGGCTGTTACAAACAACCGTTATGTGAACAAAATTAATATACCCTTGTGCACAAGTGCGCTCGGGTATAAAAATATAATTACTAAACTTTGTGCAAAATTCGCGAAAATTCAGCAAATTTTCATTCAAATTTTCTACTTTTTAATCAGATTTTTTAGAATTTTTTGAGTATGCAGTTTTGCAGCCCATTAAATTCTAGTAAACAAATGCAAGTTCGGAGTTAGTCAAAAATCGCATTGATTTTTGTGATTTTTTTTGATGAAGGTGTTTTGCCTTTTTTCCATATAAAGTATTTTCGAAAAAAATTGTTTGAGTGGAAGAGACTGCGTGAAAAAAAAATCTCAAAAGTCAACGGAAATTCCTAGCTACTTACAACTTGTACTTTATTATAATAAAATTGATTGGGCTACAAATCTACATACTCAAAAAAAATTCTGAAAATCTGATTAAAAAGTTGAAATTATGAATGAAAACTTGCTGAATTTTCGCGAGTTTTGCACAAAGGGTAGGAATTATATTTTTATGAGTTTTGTTGCAGAATAAACCATATTTTTATACAAAATTGGCGGAAATATATTAGATGAGAAATTGTTGCATATATTGTGAACAATTTGCTGTGCCAATATTTGTTCCGGCAGTGTACATAAGTTCACAAAGAAAGATTTTTTCATATCTAACGAAATACCAAATGGTATGACTACGGTGACCATATTAACCAACGTAAAATAAAGGACATTTTTCTTTCACAATGATTTAGGAAAATATTTACCAGTTAATTAACCGATTCCGAAAAATACAGCCAAAGTCCTTTTCAAGGACTTCGCCATCCTTTGCATCCAAAATGCGTTTACCATAATTCATACTTCACGCCGAAGCCGGCACACAATGGTTCAAAATTGGAATTTAATGTTCATAATTCACCGTAGTCTTCATTTTTGAACCAGTTTTTACTAAAAACCAAAAAAAAGTAATTTATTTCGGTGAAAATTTTTTATAACATTTCAAACATTTTTTTTTTTTGTAATTTTTTCGTTTTGGGTAATTATACAATTGTTTTCGATTAGTCTTTGTTATGTAACATTTATTAACTGGAAAAGGAGAATACATTTTCTTCAAAATTTCCACTTCTCTGCATTTTGCACAGAAAAAAATTAATATAATCAAGTAAAAATTTACAGATTAGGCTCAACTGGTCTCTTGCAAATATTATAAGCTTTCATAAAAAAAAATGATCAAATTAAGTGAAAAAAATGAAGGCTCCAGTGAAGAGTGCGAAACGAACTGGCGAAGGTTTTCATTATATTTTATAAGGGACATTTTTAATTTTCATATTCTGTGTTTAAAAATTTACTTCTGAAAAATGCAGAGCTGATTTAAAGGACAGTTTAAGAAATAAAGGACAAAAGGCGTCCTTTATTTTGAAAAAAATTATAAAGGACAGGGGGTTAAAATAAAGGACTGTCCTTTAAAATAAAGGACGGATGGCCACCGTAGGTATGACGGAACAACAAAATATTGATTAACAAAAAAAATCTGAATGAACAAATTTATTTTAAGCAAAAAACAAAACCGACTTCAATTCTCATATAAAAATTTAAGATTATCGTTAATTTCTTCACGATCCAATTATCGGATCTAAACCAAATTAGTATGGGACCACCCTTTCCGATGAGAAAAGAACTATCGAAATCGGTTGACGTACATAAAAAAAAAAAATATTCCGACAAACTGAAGTCCTTTTTTGGAGTCGGTTAAAAATATGTCTACATACAGAGCCTTACAAAACCCTTATAAGAGCACAGTCTACGACTAGAGCCATATAAAACCTTTATAAAACCAGTAGTTCTTCATAGCGTACAAGAAAAATAGAGTGTTAAAGGGAGAGGAAGAGAAAATCATCAGAAAAAGTCATTGAATGCCAAACTAGTAAAAACTTGTAACTGACGCCATTTTGATTGGGAATATTTTCCATTGTCATAAAAATCCAAAATATACATTACATTTAAATTGTTCATCCATATTTACTAGGGCTGTGCGATTAATTGATTATTCAAAATTTTAATTAATCATAAAGTAAATAACTCAATTATTCGATTAATTGGAAATTATGATTACTCAAATCAAAACTTCAGTTACTCGAGTAATCAAGATTTTGATTAACCAAAAACAAAAATATTTGAGTAATTTGCTTTATGATTAATCAACATTATGAATAAAATGAGTAATCAACATTTCAAAATACTCTTTACATACATACATATAAAGCACTTGAAGTTCCTTGATACTTTGAAAAAAAAACGTTTCTGTTTTCAAAAATTAAAATGAAATACATACATACATACATATTTTTTTCATATACAGAATATAAAAAGATAATAAGCATTTTCCAAAGCAAACTCTTTTAACGAGCAAAATTAATTTTTTTGAGTAATCATATTTCAAGTAACTCGATTAATCAACGTTTTGAGTAATCAAAATGTTGATTACTCGAGTAATTGATTAACTGATTAACCAACTTGCTCGAGTAATCGAATAATCGCACAGCCCTAATATTTACATCTCACTATTTTTTTTTTTTCATCAAAAGTCTGCTCCAGGTGCTTCACGATTTACAGGTTTTTACAGGAAGTCGTTCCCGATCGCCACATTCCACAAGGTTTATTATTGGCGAAAAAAGCTTTTCCTGTAAATCCTGTAAAACAAATCGTGAAGTACCTGGAACAAGGCTCAGATCATCCTCTTAAACACTTTGTTTACATTTGAATTTGAAATTTGCAAGTAGTACTAGCAACAATTCGTAGCAATTTTTAATATTGAATGGACATAATTTAATTTCCTGAAATATTTATCTTTTCCTTCTTCTTTTCATATCCGGTATAAGCATTTGTCAAATCATCAGCCATTGAAATCCAAACAACCAGCAGTTGGCAGCAGTGTCAGTTTGACAGCAGTAGTTGAATGCTGGCTCCAATTAGACAGTTTTATTGTTGGTGTGTGACGATTCGTGCGAGTAGTATCTTGCAGATACTGTCGAAAAAATATTTTTTTACACAAAACCGAGGTAGTGCATCTCTCGGTCGTTGTTTTTTCTTTTGGTTTTCAATGCATTTTATAACATTACCAATTTAACCAGTATAGTGGAAAATTTTTTGTGAAACGTAAAAGAGTTTATTAATATCAAGGTATGTTTAGTACTAAATCAATGCATACAATTGTATGCGGGCACGATGATTGCAAAAAAAAGTGAGCTCAAAAATTAGATGCTTGTGAAATCGTAAAAATTCGGTTAGGGCCATCAAGTGGCAGAAGGGAAGAGAGAAGGTCGATCGGTGCGTTTAGGGCAGGCAAGCAAACAAGCAAACATGAATGATTCATACAACGTATTCAAAAACGGTTAACTTGATAGGTTGTTTGCTTGCCTTCTGTTGCCCTCGTTTTTGGGTCGGTCTATTGGTCGACGTGTGGTGATTAGTTGGCTGACTCGTTGTCTGGCTGTTTGGCAATGGCAGAAATTATATTTGAGGTTCTAGGTATATGTACAATAATTTTTCAAAAGTTGTATAAACAAAATCAAATGAAAACTCTTAAGCAAATAATTTTGAGTGCAAAGCTTTTTAGCAATCCATTTGTACTTACTAAGCAAATTTACAAATCAAATCAAGCTATTGAGTAAAAAGTCTAGATTTCAAATACGAAAACAAATAAAATCGCTTCAAAGGAATTTCATACGTATGTATGTTGCTGTTGCTATTACGGTTAAATAGCGATTGCCACATATTTAGTATGTGCGCCAGTAAGTGTGTAGGTACATATGCATTAAATGTACGAACTATCTATTTACGTAAACACATATGTAACGGGTGATTTTTTAAGAGCTTGATAACTTTTTTTTTAAAAAAAACGCATAAAATTTGCAAAATCTCATCGGTTCTTTATTTGAAACGTTAGATTGGTCCATGACATTTACTTTTTGAAGATAATTTCATTTAAATGTTGACCGCGGCTGCGTCTTAGGTGGTCCATTCGGAAAGTCCAATTTTGGGCAACTTTTTCGAGCATTTCGGCCGGAATAGCCCGAATTTCTTCGGAAATGTTGTCTTCCAAAGCTGGAATAGTTGCTGGCTTATTTCTGTAGACTTTAGACTTGACGTAGCCCCACAAAAAAATAGTCTAAAGGCGTCAAATCGCATGATCTTGGTGGCCAACTTACCGGTCCATTTCTTGAGATGAATTGTTCTCCGAAGTTTTCCCTCAAAATGGCCATAGAATCGCGAGCTGTGTGGCATGTAGCGCCATCTTGTTGAAACCACATGTCAACCAAGTTCAGTTCTTCCATTTTTGGCAACAAAAAGTTTGTTAGCATCGAACGATAGCGATCGCCATTCACCGTAACGTTGCGTCCAACAGCATCTTTGAAAAAATACGGTCCAATGATTCCACCAGCGTACAAACCACACCAAACAGTGCATTTTTCGGGATGCATGGGCAGTTCTTGAACGGCTTCTGGTTCTGGTAAAGTAAACTGAGTGCGAAACTTGGTCACAATCGCATTAATTGTTTGCTCACTTGGTCGATTATGTAGACCATAAATCGGACGTAAAGCGCGAAACACATTTCGAACCGAACACTGATTTTGGTAATAAAATTCAATGATTTGCAAGCGTTGCTCGTTAGTAAGTCTATTCATGATGAAATTTCAAAGCATACTGAGCATCTTTCTCTTTGACACCATGTCTGAAATCCCACGTGATCTGTCAAATACTAATGCATGAAAATCCTAACCTCAAAAAAATCACCCGTTATATGTACAGTGACGAACAAAAGTAGTGGCACACAGAATTTATCACAATCTATGCAAAGTTTTTTATTATAATTTCTTTTCCTGAATTTTTTATATAATAATACTTCATACTACAACAAAAAACATAAAAACATAATCTATAAACTTTGTGCAAAACTCGGAAAAATTCAATAAATTTGAACTTTCTAAACAGATTTTTCATAAAAATTCGAACAAGTCTATTCTGCACGTTATCTACCGATGGTTTTGTAACCGAAAAATTGTATTACCAAAAAACGTTACCACTTCTTGTCACCGCAATTCAGCTATGAACATTTGTGGAAATTTTGGCATTGCATATTTCACGGGGCAATATTTTGTTACCAGCTTATGAGATGGTAATAAAATTTTCCGGTTGCAAAATCTTCGGTAACGTGCAGAATAGACCTGTAAGTGTGCAGTTTTATAACTTGGATTTTTGGCATTTTTTTTTTTGCGGACGGCTTATTATTTTCTTCCATACAAAAAATTAAAAAATTGCCAAAAATCAACACGATTTTTTAGCAACTTCAAACTTACACTTTGTTATATTAAAATTTAATGTGCTATAAAACTGCATACTTAGAATTTTTTCTAATTTCTAAAGCCGCAAATTAGTATGCAAATTATTTGAATTTTCCTGAACTTTGTACAAAGTTTAGAAATTTTATTTTTGTGTTTTTTGTTGCTATATTTTTATAAAAAAATTGCGAAAAGAAATTAGAATACAAAATTTTGTATACCTACATATGTACATTCCCAAATATTATCTATGCCAATACTTTTGTTCGTCACTGTATATATTTATAAACATAAATGCTGGCGATCACTTTCGGGCGGAACTGCGTACTTTTCAGTTGCGACGAGCTTGGTTAGGTAATTAACACAACGCAGCGGTGGGCAAGAGCGGCACAACATGGTGCAGGCATACGGTGAGGCGCTTGTAGTGTATCCCATCCCATATAAGATATTTACAAACACAGACATTTACGTGCCATTTTTACA